CTGCGTGCGTGGGTGCGTGCGTGGGTGCGTGTGCGGGTGGGTGCGTCCGTGGGTGCATGCGTGCGTGTGTGGCGTGTGTGGGTGGGTGCGTGCGTGCGGCCGGGAGGTGTCTCTTTCTGGAATCCCCACTGAACTGTCCAGCTGCCTTGCCCAGTCCTTTCTGGGCCGCCTTTCATGCAAGGTGTCCGGCTGCCATCCTGCCCTCCTGATGGACACCACGAGGCCCAACCCATCCGTCCTCTCTGCCTGAGGAGGGCTTTTTTCCTGAGAAATCTTTCCTCATAGATCTAGCTCTGCTGTTATCTTCTGGAAACTTCCATCATGCCCTGAAGCTGTCTGTGGTGTGAGCCAGGACTCAAGACCGGCTTCCTCCTGCAGGGATGCAGCTCACCCAGCGCCTGCAGTGCCGCCTCCGTTCAGCTGCCAATGCCCCGGCAGCCAGTGTCTGGTGAGCTCCTCCCAGCCTCAGGGCTCCCTCTTTCTCCTTGACTTCCTGTTACCAGAGGATTGTCTTCGTAGGGCTCTGTTAATTCAGGGGCTAGGAAGCAATGCTGGGTTTAGGCTTCCATCCCATCCTGTTCTACGAAAACAGGATTTCCCAAACCCAGGACTTCACAGCTCTCTTATCATCAAGTAGCCACAGCTCCTCCTTTAGTGTTCACTCCGGATACTGGAATATTTCGCAATCAAAACCCGCTTCTCCTCCAGGAACTGCACGGTTCTGCCGGTCTATGGCGGCAGCCTCAGGGCCCGTCAGAGGGAGCTTAGCTACATAACCACCATGGCGTCCCCTACCGCGGCCTTGCCTCTCGTGTTTCCGCAGGATCTCCAGGCTGAAGGACGCAGCGTGTGAGAAGTTTAACAAATACACACCCACATCCCGATGGCCAGAAAAGGGGATCCACAAGGAACGTTTCAGAGTTCTTATCCAAACCACTCTACCTCCGGTTCCACATCTTCCAATCCACGTTACACCCGGGCATACGTAACACAAAAAAAAAACCAAGGAAACAAAGACCCAGGTTTATTTCCCCTTCTGAGTTAGAGATCTTATGACATTTGTTTCACAGCTTATGGAAAATGGTGTGGGGACACTTCCGGTAAACGGGGTTGGCAACAAACAGAAACATCAACCCCATCAGCTCTTGCTGGCCAGCCTGTTGGTCCCCGTGCAGTAAAAGCTGGGCACCTTGGAGGGCCCCGGCTCTGCCAGGACAATGGGAAACACGGCTCCAAACACTCCTGTGTGAGCTCTGACACGTTTTAGTGCCAGCTTTTTAAAACTGAAACGCAGAGGAACCAGTGTCCAGAGGCAACCGACATTCCCCCTTACACTTGCTGCCATCCCTAATTTCTTCATTTATAAATGTTGCTTAAAAGACTAAAACTCCCAGCCAGGCACAGTGGTTCATGCCTGTAATCCCAGCACTTTGGGAGGCCAAGGTGGGCGGATCACTTGAGGTTGGGAGTTCAAGACCAGCCAGGCCAACATGGTAAAGTCCTGTCTCTACCAAAAATACAAAAATTAGCCAGGTGTGGTGGCGCACACCTGTAATCTCAGCTACTCAGGAGGCTGAAGCAGGAGACTTGCTTGAACCAAGGAGGCAGAGGTTGCAGTGAGTTAAGATTGTGCCGCTGCGCTCCAGCCTGGACGACAGAGCAAGACTCTGTCTCAAAAAAACAAAAAAGAAAAAAAATTCCCATTCCTTTTAAAAAATAGATGCTTGCCCTCAGCCCCAATGGCCACAGGCAAAGACTTATTTCCCAATAGAAGAGAGAGCCTCCTTCATCTTTGTGGTCATGGTCAGGGTGAGGCACACGAGGTCATCTGCAACCATGGTCACGTGGCCGGCAGCTGCTGCTTCACCTGGAGCCCTCACTCCCTGCATGTTGGGAATCTGGCTTTGTCATTGCAAGGCCTGGTGCCCCAAGCCCAGCGGTCCTGGGACTTCTCCAACTCACCAGTCACCAAGGCCTGGGCTTGCACCAGAGGCCTGGGCTTGCTGGAGGCCTGGGTGCACCTGCTGCATGGGCACCCGGCTGTCCTCACAGTAGCTGGTGCTGCACCAGATCATGAGGCCCTGCATCTTCCGGAGCTCGCTCGCTCTCCAGTTCTTCACCGCGGAGTGCGCCTCCTCCTGCACCAGAGCAGCCGCAGCCCCGTGCTGGCGACCCCATGCTGCCCCACACCGAAATGGTCCTCGCCTGAGTTTCCACAGGCAACCCTGAGCTTTGTAGGCCCCCGGAAGGTGAACCCCCAGCACCCTCCCTGAGCAGCCCCAGGCCTGCCTGAGTGCCTCATCCATCATCTCCAACCCCGCAGTCAGGTAACGAAAGGGAATTCAACAAGTGAGAAAGGGCTGCTGCTCAAGACAGGCGTGCGCAGCAGAGCTGGAAAGAGTTCTCCAACTGAGGCAAATCTGAAGACAGGGTGAAACGTAAATCCTGTTTAGGTTGAGGAAACAAAGTTCTGTGTTTTAATCATCAGTGTGGCATGTCTGCCCTAAGTCTGTCTTAATCTTTTAAAGTCTGATTCCTACAAAGTGACATCAAGATACACGGTGGGAGAAGTGGGAGGGGGAGAGCACGACATTAACATTATCCAAATCGTACAAAAACAAACCCTCCTTTCATCAAGTAAAGACAGTCTTTATTTTAGCTTTACACCACCACTTAGGGAGTTTACAATAAAATCATTTCCAATTTTAATATGCTGCTCACTCTAGCAGCTAACATTTTTACCTTTTTGTGCAAAAGCTTGCACACATCGGCTAACCATGCCTGTGGGATTCTAACTGCTCTGATTGACGAGCTCTAATGTTTGAGAGAACGAACAACTTCTTGAATCAACAAATGGCAATGGCAACTAAAATATACACCTAAAGCCATTTATTCCTCACTAAGCTTGCTGAGCTTGAAGACACTGAAATCATGCACTCACGCTGTGACCGGGAATAATTGGTTCCTGACTTTTTGTAAAGCATTTTGCACAATAAACTCACACAAGCACAAAGCTGTTTTAATATTTTCATGAGATAT